GTCGATAATTAGACACTAAACGTTTCTACGACACGCTGTCAGACATTTTTACTTTCTATTAAGTCTCAAGGTCGATTGTGTATTAAAATGCAATTGGCAGTCATCCGTAAACATGTAAATTATTATGGAAAACAGAACGCGGTATTAGATCAAGCATGATAGAAGTATAGCTGATTAATAATTAGGTTACCGTTTTTTTTTGTCAGACTAGATTTTAAGAAATTGATAAAACCTTGAACTATTTCACATTTTCAATAAAGTAGTTAATAATAAACATACTGTTGGCATATTTCTGAACGAGTTTAACAGGAGAAAGTTTAATTAAATGCCTTGATAAAGAGAAGCAACTAGTTTCACTCAGCCATAGACAATTTAGTTGTGTAGAGAAAACTCGTTTTATGTGTTAGTAGAATTCGCGTACGTACACCCAGAATTTTAAAAGTGATAAGTAGTAAACAAACACATTCTTTTAGTATTCAAACTATTTTTACAAGAACAAAAGTACTAATTATATCAACTATTTTTTTTCTTCAGTTTTTGTGTTAAGAATTGTGGAGTTGTCTCAGTTCTTTATGCCCTAACGAAGGTGACAAAGAATGTTAATAAAATTATAAATTGTTACTACAAAAAATTTGGTTTATAAATACTTTTGAAACTGAACCCGGACAGTTAACAGTGCTTTATTGTAAATGTTTTAAATTCAGTCCAGTATTTTTTAATACAATTATCTTTTCTCTTAATAACAAAAACAATATAACTTCAGATTTTGTTTTTAAATAATTCGTGATTATAGTTACGAATTTTAAACAATCATCATACCAAGTCTATGAAAGGCACGCAAACGCAGAGGTCGTTGAAGAACAAATACACCCGTCTGTGTCATTATTTTTTCTTATAGTATTATGTTCGGTATTGAAAAATTTATTTTTTTAAAGTAATGAATTTGCCATTGTTAGGATTCTAAAAACGTTTGTCAAAATATATATGACTATATAGGGTTCGAGTCCCATCTCAGAGTGTCAGGGACAAAGTGGATTTAAAGCATTTTCATTAAGAATATTTTCCAGTGTAGCATCGTGAATGCGAAATTGATGAAAGATTTATAAATATGTAGTTATAGTACAGGTATATTCTTAGATTTATTATGTACACTTATAGAAATATTTTTTTTTACCGATTCCTTCGCTTTAAGCTGCATACAATTCGATTTTATTTCTTTGATGCGCGCGGACTGGAACTTTCGATCGTACTCACCTTAGGCTGTAAGGTCAACAGCTTTCGCTATCGTCGTGTCCCCTCGCACAGAAAGATGACCTAACAAGTTTTTGCGAATCCATGTAGAACTTCTGCTTTGCTACACAATAGGATCATCCCATCTCAAAAACGTTATAAATTAGGAGAGGACTATTCAACATGTTTCCGAATGAGAAAACTGGCTGTATCTTCCTTTATGACGCATACAATAACTTGAACACGTTGAGTCATGATTATTACACAGCGTATTTGTATGTTGCCGAAGGCTGTTTATTTCCGAGGACTTGAGCACAACTTATTTTAAGTCAGCATAGATGAGTGACGTATCTAATCCAGTTCGTAAATCCTTTTTTAACTATCGTATTTTAAAAACATCTGTTGAACGCGTTATGTCCCCGTTTCGACAGTTGTAAAGAAGATAAGAAACATCTGTTGGTTATTATAGTTTTCTTGATTACAATTAAGTATGAGGACAGCATTAGAGTTTCACTTTGCGTTTGTAAATAATAACGCTTCTGGTAATAATTACATCATGCAGCACGCTCTGTTATTTACTTTGTGCATTAGTTCGTCGACTGCTTTGACTTTCGATAAGCTTCCGTTGATTAATAGTTTAGTGTTATTATAAAATGGCGATGGTTATGAATCAAGAATTAATCGTTACTTGTAATTTACTACATTCAATTGAGTACATGAAAGTTTTCTAGATTTGTACAGTAAATTAGTCATCTACGAAAATGAGTCGCGACTGTGTTTCATTTTAAAACATGTTTTTTTTCATCGATAGTGTGTTAATTTTTTAAATTAACTGATTCCATACATCTAGTATAGAAGAAACATTTTAAATGAAGAAAATAATTCTGTTAATGTCATAAATGCGAAAGTTTGTGTGGATGGTTGTAATACTTTCGTAGGTAATCGGATAATTTTCAACCTGAATTAACATATAGTCTACTTTTTATCTCATTATACCGTTTCCTAGGGATGACTGTACTGTCTAGTCATGGTGCAAACCACGCTTGCGTAGCCACCGGCGAGAAACTAGTCAATATTAACAATAGAAGTAGCCGAATTTTAACTATCAGTATATTTTTAGTATGTCTTGAATGAATATCTAATAATATAATTTAAAACAATAACAACAGATCATAAATCTCAGCAGTTATCGTGACGTAATATTCCAATGCGGAAATAAACAATGCAATACGTGTCATACCGGCAACCATTATAATTGCTGCTGTAATGTAATGGAGTGTGAGAATAAGTGATAATACACATTACACCTTGCATTTGCCGCAGTTATGACGTTTTTACGTTAGCAACCGTGATTGTTTTGTGTTGTATGAAAGTGAATCTTCATTGTGGTATCGACATACTATTGTAATAACACGGTTATTAAACTTGCAAAGCAGTTTACTTATCGTCTAAGTAGGATATTCATTTTTTTATGTTTATTTATCAATTGTCACTCAATTAAAGGCAATAGCGATGAATTCTAAAAAGGTATTAGATAAATCTTAATCAGCACTATTTGAAATTGATCTCGTCACAAAATACAATGAAACATTTTCAAATTGAACTTGACAGGGAATACCTAGAACTTACTTTGCGAGACAAAATATCTACAAATGCTTGACCTAGTTACGTAATGAAAGCGTTTTGTAGTGTTCATTCAGAATAAGTGTTGCCAATTTATAGTTACTACTTGAAATAATGAATACCTAGAGTGCTTTATACTATAAACAAGCAAGGGATTTTGATGTTTTGTAAATGGAATATCTTTTTCAGGTCTGTTAATAAAAAAAAATGTCCGTTACATATTCTGCTTTACTTTCGTTCGGTAACACAGTTTTTTACATTCCCAATGGAATGTTTTATTCCATTCATATAAGTTGAGTATGGGCTTATAATAGCTCGGTGGCGTAGTGGATAAGCGCCGCGGCCCACGATCGTAGTCGTTAAGAAACTTTCGCACTGGTCGGTCACGGGATGGGTGACCAAAAAATTATTATCTCGAGCTACTCCGTGCTTCGGAAGGCACGTTAAGCCGTTGGTCCCGGCTGCATTTGCAGTCGTTAATACCCTCCAATCCGCATTGGGCCCGCGTGGAGGGTTATGGCCCATTCTCCTTAACCATCCATAAGGAAGCTATGAGCCCCTGTAGTGGGGACGTAAAAGGGCTGGTGATGGTGGTGGTGATGATGGACTTATAATATGTGCTGTAAAAATTTCATCTTTGCATCAAAAACTCAAAAATCTTGTAATGTCCTAAAAACGGTCACAATCTTGAAGTGTCTAAAAATCTTGAGATATATTAACCCTACTCATAAAATATTTAGCACCAGATGCTATATTTATTTTATATGAATGTTGAATGTTTTAGCAAACAATAATATCATATATGATCATAAAAGCGTAATTTGTTGCCTTGTGTCATGTGCCACATGTGATATAGGAAAGTAATAATGTTATGCTGCGTCTACACGCTTGCCAACTTCAACGAGCCCTCACAAATTCAAACGTGTGGTTAGAATGTATGTCCTGGTTTATGTGTATTTGCATTACAAGCGCTCGTAGTCAATTCGATCTAATTTCAATTTTTGCAAGGAGAATCGGTTTTTGTCGCAAATCACATCGAATCTTCAACAAGCGCTGCGATGCATTCCAAAAATTCGTAGGTACGCAGTCTCATTTGCCGCACTTGCAGCGATGAAAAGTACGGTTTTAATGATTTTTGATATCTGTAGTTTTATTTGGTTATTGAAATAATTTGAGCCAATTTTATCACCGAAGTCTTTTGTGTTTGTTTGTTCAAAATATATTAACGCATTAGCAAAGCCTGTATTCTTTTTTCGGTTTTCGAATCTAACATATTAATTTGCTAATAAAAGTAAAATAGTACATGGGCAATGGGTATTTCCACAGAACACGGAAAGGTATTTCGAATTACATGTGAAAATTACATAGTATTTCGCCATAAGACATGTAAAAGGCGTTGGTTTGGAGTTCTGCGGTCAAGTGTGAACGCCGCATTAAAGCTGTTTCGAGAAAGTCTACATGAAATGCTAATATAATCAAAATATCCTGAGTTTGTGTCAATAGAAAGTGTCCGAGGACATCCGTTTCTTTACTTCATTCTGAAAATAGATGCAAAATGTTAAGTGCTTTTTTTCGTTGCAATTAAGTGTTTATTGTATTCTAAATGAAAACTTTTTACTATATAATCTATGGAATCTGTCGCTTTGTATAGAACGAGGTCGCAACTGGAATAAGACGGATATGCTTGCCTATTCATGTATTCAGGCTTGCAACGTTAGCCAGGTGTTGCCGTTTGGTAAAATTTCTCGACACGAACGCTTCTCTAATGCACTGGACTGGAATACATTAAAAATTATGTACTTTTTTTCGTTCCCTTGTTATTCAATGTCGATTTTACATGATAATGCGGGTTAAAATTTTAGATGGCAAAGCATATTATAAGATATATTCTTTAATCGAAAACTTATTTTTTGTACTATATCTGAACTCGATTGTTTTATATAAAATATAACATTAAAGGTATATCCTTGTAGTAACAGTAAAAACTTAAACATAACGTTCGTTTCTTTGTTTTGAACCGTAGAACCGGGCGAAGTTTTAAAGGGGAATTTATCAATCGCCGCCCCAAGCGGCAGATGTTCACTCGACTCCTGCTATTTGGCTCGTGGCTATTATGTGAGATATACACTTTAAAAATGATAGAGCTCAGCTCCAGATATTTGAACAGACGGACGTTTTCAATGTTTCTGCTTATGTCTCTATGTATTTCAAATTACTCTCTCTTGTTACAGACACTAGATTTTGACCGCGATGGCCTGACGAAGTTGAAGAAGGCTATAAAAGCCATACACAATTCTGGAAATGGTGAGGAACTGAAACTAATTCTTCGTATAGATATAATAGACATATGAATAGAGAAAGATAACTCTCTCTATAAGTAATATACGAAATAATATTAATGTTCCGTCTTGTATCGATCGCTCTATTTGTATGCACGCATCGCTTCAACTTATTCAAGCGACACGAGACAAGATCTTCCCAAAAATAGTCGAGGAGGAAGTAACGTGCTCAAATGATACAAAAATAGACGAAATTCCCAATACATTTTTGGCTGGAAGTTTATTAGACGGCAGAGCGTTTGGATAAGTCAATATATTACGGACCATATCATAATAAATTCACTGCCTCTAGTAGTTTTGATTTGGCTATAGGTACATGATTTTTTTTTCTCTTTATCACGTATTGTATGTACCGCACACTTCGATATCACTACATAGTTAAACAGTCGCATTACGTCTGTATGCTTAGATCTTTAAAACTACGCCACGGATCCTGATGCGTTTTTTTTTATAGATTAAGTGATTTAAAAGGAAGGTTATTACACTAATACGATTTTCATGTAATTTACTATGCTGTGAGTTGCTGAAGCGATAAATAGATGTAGCTAGGTTTGTTTGAAAAAAAAAACGTAGCAAAGGTCGTTCATCCTGGTATTTTATTATAATTTAAAAAAAGTACCTAGTAGTTTAGTAGTTGATCATATAATTATTTACAAAAATACTTTAGCTTGGTATGTAAAATTTTTGTTTATTCACATAATTGTAGTCATGATTTTATTTAGTATAGTTTTCGTTTTTTTATTCTTTTAATTTCGAATACCTATAAGAGTGTTACCGAACATGAAAACTTTACTAATTAATCAAATAACTTTAATCAGAGAGGAAATCGCTAGTATTAGTTATGATGGGGTTGTCGTCGTAGGGGCATTGTGTTGTTGGTAGTGATTACAAGCGGAAAGCTAGATTACTCCATATAGCCAAGTTATTACATGGACGACGTGGAACCGGCTCCTTAAGACGGAGGTCGTTCAACCCACTGAACTAGAATGACCTAAATATCGCAACAGTGATGCCTGATAGTCATAGGTATATGAATAAATAAACATTGCTAGAATACATTGTGAAGAATCCTTCGAATACCTTAATTGTCGTAAACCAGAATTGTCCACATTTAGTTCTACAATATTTACGTTTGTGGCTCATCACAAAATACATCTATAATCTCGCACTGTTTGAATGAGACTTGAAAAAAAAATAAGAAATTGGATATATTATACCTACTTATAGTAACTTCAAATGTCGTAGTAGTTTTCTCTTAATTACGAGAAATGTTTTCAAATATTAAAGAGATACATCAATTCAAGCTTATCACTTACTAATATTACAAGCAGGTAGTTTCTAACTTTGTTTGTTTGTAGGTAATTTTCAGAAGTATTCATTCGATCTTGAAAATTCGACTCACTTACGGGGAGCTATATAATCTACACCGTCCAAGTCTCGGGAAACAGCTAGATGCTTACTAGTAGATGATTACATATTATAAGGTTAATTAAAAACAAGCAACTAAATCCATGTCATTCGTAAAGGTTATTTTATTTGTACGTGGCTATATGATATCTTGTGGAAGGTTGAAACATGAGATTATCCGAACTACGTCGGTTGGCTGCCGTTTTCGGACGCAAACGAATTTCCCTTCTTGTATGACTTGTCAACGAAAGTGGGTCGTATGTCTGGTTTCGCTCACTGCGTTGCAGTAACTCCACATATTAGACTATTGTTTCGAGAATTTGAACCTTATCAAATACTAGCTTCTACCTACCTCCTGATGTCTATTTTGATGCAGTCGATAAGGAATATTTTCATGAATTATTAAACTCATTCGTATTGAACCTTTTTCCTTTCTTCCTTGTTAAATATTTATGAAATATGAAATCTGTTGTAAAGTCTATCTACTATTTTTCTTGCAGTTTCTGCCATATCGTAACATGAGATAAGATAAACACCGAAAGGATCATCATATGATAATAGCTGTTGCTTTTATTATTCATGCAATGTACCGATTGTACTGTTGAAACTTGATTACCGTATTTTGTGTTTACACCATCGCATTTTAAAATCGATATGAAGTATTCGCACTTGGCATTTCATTCCATTGTATAGTTACTTGTGTATAATATGTATACAATACCATCGCGTGCACAGTTTGTTTATCACCGCCGCGTGGAACTGGTCTCGCGGGTACCGATCGCGAGCTGCAGCCGCAAGGTCGCGTGGTGTAGTGCGCGCCCGCAAAAACAACCAATCAAAACGTGCAACATACCATTATAAAATATGTGGTTTTTTAATTCGTCTTACAGTGGTCATCGTCTGAGTGAACATCACATTGTCTTGACAGAGAGACTTGATGTCTATGAACAAGAAAATCGCGTATTGCTAATGAACCATATAGGTTCTGTATTCGATATAGATTCTTGGCATTGTCGAATTGTGTTCTATATTTAACTCTTATACTTTGATAATGATATACGATTACGCCTTTGTCGAGGTTTAGTTTACTCTTACTTAGAAAATGAAAATAATTAGAGAGGTTGTGATTTTTTAAGAGTTTTTTAATATGATAACGTTTTCGTTGTCTTATCATTTTTATTGTATCACTTTGACGTCATCGTATTATCAAACGTTTATCTTAAAAATGTTTTAGTTTCACGTTCATTTCTTCAATTCAAAATTTATTAGTAATGCTAAAAGCGCATGTCGATGGGTTATATCACTTGGGTATATCTACACGAAGTAGGACGTGACATGGATTTCTGATATTTATTTTCTACATTCTCTGTGCCCTGTACTACTAACTCAGTGTTTTTAGATCAATACAATATATTTGATTATTGCTGATATAAAGAATATGCACATTGATTAATTACATTATGGTTGTATGTTTTAATATAGGTACCTTATTATCTGTGCTATTATCTTCTTTCTTTGAGAGGTAGGCAGATAGAAGCGGCACAAGGCATAGCCTACATACAAAAAAGTATTTCTTTTAATAATCTGAATCTAAATGGGAGTGGTAGAAATACTTTTATGAACCAAACAAGCGAATTTAAAAGGTTAATTATTGAAGTTTAATTATGTCAAACTAGCTAGCATATGTAGAACTAGCTGTTTTCACGCGGCTTTGTACGCGTAAATTATAGCCTACGTCACCGGTGCATGATATAGTCTCGTAGCTTATTTTCATTATGGGATCAGTATTTCCGAAGATAACACCATACAAACAAATAAAGTTAGAATCTTTACCTCCTCATAATGTTCCATCATTATCCATTCATTCACCCACACATGCATTTATCCATGTTAAAGTCATAAAGCTCTTCAATTAAATGTTTCTGTTTTGTAAAATTGCTAAAACATTATGAGCAATTGAAATTAATTGTTAGAATGATATAGGAGCATTTCAAAATGTAATGGCATCGATGTAGGTATTGAAGAAGTTATACTGTCAGGAAAAAATTGTTGTCTAGCTAGACACATTTTTTACCATTTTCAATTATATTGTAATAGTAATATAAACAAACTGTTGATATATTGACAAAAAAATTTAATGATATCCGAGTCCAGTAGGTATCTCATAAGAAGCAACGCGTTATATAAATAAGTTTTTAATTTTTAATGTAGCAGGTAAAAAAAAGTGTATATGATTTGCGATATCATACACAATATTTAATTTTCACTAAAAATTCCTGTTTAACAATAATACTATTCAGTATCGAACGCATAACTCACTCTTTGTAATTAACCGCAAATGATTACAGATATAGTAATGCTGAATAAACTCATACGAAATCGTTTGCGAGTTGCGTGTTAATGAAATTGAAACTAACACGTTGATATATTTTTACTTGAAAGAATTTACTACTGGCCATGTTTCTCCAGATACATATTCTACAATGACGATATCCGTAGTCGTTCGTTCGTAGTGGTTTCAAGGGGTCAATGTTGAAAATGAACTTTTCTATATTGTTGCGGGTCTGGGTAATGTGGTACATTTGTTGTACCAGAAACTCCATAATACGGGGGCTTTAATTACTAACGGATAGGAATCTGAACAATGTATTTGATGTTTTATATTTATTTATATCATTTAATATGTATCTGTATTTCAGCTCAACATATCAAAAATATTACGTATTTTGAATTCATTCAAAATCCGAAAGGAGGATTTTCTATGTTCAAGGTGTAATGGAAAGGTCGCCTGCATAATTTAAGCGTGAATAAACCAAGATCGAAGATGATGCTCATTCAGATCGCCCTTCGTCGTTTGTTACTCAGGAAATTGCCAAAAACTTATATTAGATTTTCGTTGTTGAAAGCTTTTGATTTAAGAAGAAAAGGCTGTGCAATATAATTTTGTAAACAAAAAATAAGAAAAGCTATATCCGAGCGCGGCTAACTTTTTAAATGAATACTCATACGAATTCGAACATTACTCCCAGTATTTTATAATATACTGAGTAAATAGTATACAAAATACTGATTAAGATTAATGTACTATTAGGACACTTTTTATCTTATATTCTTTAAAACTCAAATATAGATCAACAGTGTGCAATGATGATATGTTTTAATATGTCTTGACTCGGTTTTAATATATTGTTTACTATTCTTTTAGCTCACGTAGACAATGAGATGTATCTGTCTCGTGCCCTCGAGAGATTAGGAGGGAACGCACTAAGCAGAGATTCGGAGCCTGACATTGGGGCGGCGTTCTTCAAATTTGCTGTCGTCACCAAAGAACTTTCAGCGCTCATGAAAACGCTGGTAAGTTTAAGAATTTATGTATCTACTCTAGAATTTATGTATATGTGTTAAGCTCAATGATCTAAATCGCTCATTGAGCAAAAAATAGCTTTCAATGCGTTTTGGCAATTAAGAAAAACCATGAAGAGTATTGAACCATATTTGATTAGAGATTATGAAAAACAACGCAAGAGCCGAGCGAGCAAAGTGAGCGTACCACGGCAGCGGCCGGCGAAGTGCCAGAAGCAAATCACTATTGTAAATTAAACAGTTAGTTAAACCAATTAATGCTCAGAACGCGTCGTGGCATTTCTTCGTTGCCATAACTCGTTGTGAACTATTTTTTCGCTCAATGAGTGATTTCGATCTTTGAGTATAACATATACACTCAATAGATAATTACAACATATCTAAGAAAATTATTTATATGAACGCTGTTTGAAATATAACTAATCGTAACCAAATCGTTTAACTAGTTGGACCAACCCTTCTCGAGTTTTGAGTTTAGTAACCTATTCATTTCTATTGCAATAGAAATGTTAAATGTTCAAGCTACCGTGAAAATTTATTTATCACTGGTAAATAAATAGGCAACTTGTCTGAATAAAACAAGAGTTATATAGCTGCCTGCAGAGAAGCTATAAAATAATAATGTCGTTATCAGGGTCACCTAGAGTCAGATCGCTAATAGAATCACCGAGCTTTATAGACTTGACCCTTGGGAGCTCGTACCTACGTTCTTGTTGTATTATTTTGTTTCTTTCTGATACGGTTCGTGTGATTTCATGGATGTCTACTTGAGACATAATCAGTCGTGGAGTGTGAAATGAAACGGGCATATCAAACATAAAACACCCTACGCATGAGTACTTTAGTACTGTTGGAAAAGGAAATTATGCTATTGAAGCAGTCTGGAGGGTCTTGCCGGATGTATAACGAGCGAGACCGGGAAGGAATGACTCTAAAAATCCATACATTTACTAGTAAATCAGGTGATTTCTTTCATCCGATGAAGAGTAATTAATCTGCATTATACACAGACTTTTATCCCCTATTTCGCAATAAAATATTAAACTATGGGCTTTCCCAATGTCGGCTCTATTTCTATATCAAATATCCTTAATTTTGGTTCACTAGTGTAGGCGTGAAAGCGCACCAGACAGACACTAGATAGTTACTTTCGTATTTATAATATTAGCACGGATTTATGATTATATGCCACTGGAGCTAAGTCAATGCAATAAACTAGTCGATGTTTCCCTTATTTAAAAAGTTATAAGGTTTCTCGATATTGACATTTATTCGTTTGTACATAGATTTGTACATCAGCCCCGCTTGCTGTTAATTACTAATTTAAAGGTAGACGCTATAACAAATATGCAAAACGAGGTAACATGATCTTGAGGATGTGTAAGGCACGTTTCGATTTGCAGTTTTAATGTCGTCCTTCTCGGAATAGTGAATGCACAAACGTGTAGCGAACGCCCGTTACCGATTGACGTGTGATGGTGCGTGGGCGCACCCGCAGATTTGCTTGTAAATGGGTCATGGTAATAATTTGATGAGCGTCGAGCCAGGCCAGCGAGCGATGCCAGGAACAATGAATTGATTGTTTCTTACGTATCGTTTTATTGTATATTTTGCGTTCTCTATTGACGTTGACGACAGATTGCGCAATATTAATATAATGTTATAGATCTCCACAGCGATAGGTGTTATGAAACAGATATTTATCCTACAAAAGTAGAAAGTTCATTTTAATTTTGTCTTCAATCAAACAGCATGATCTCTCTTCCTTTGCGTATAGAATCTATAGATGTATGTATATATAGTATAAAACAAAGTCGCTTCCCCTTGTCCGTACGTTGAGATCTTTTACTACTCAACGGATTTTAATGCCATTTTCATAAATATAAACACAATGTGAATTAAGAAGGTTTATAAGTATCTATAAAAGAAGACAAATAGGGTGGGTGAAGCCGTTGTCGGGAAGCTAGTATCTAATAATTGACAAGTAATTTAACATCAGCATTTGCTATATTGGGGTTTTCGGAGGTTTTAAATTGTACTGTTTCAAAAATATAGGAAAAGCCTTCACTACTCATATTTATTCCTTGCGAGGTCCGTACGGGATCCTTTTGCGCAGAATCCTTGGCCTGCCCTTGACACATGCAATCCTCACCGGGACGCGTTTCCCTGGACTATGCAAGCTGAGTCAAACAGGATAACGGAAGAGATAACATAATTATATTCACGTTAGTTAATCGATTTTCTTTATTTCAGTGCTTCACTCTAAACTGTAAATTGAAACATGGATATATTAAACAATAATAAATAATATACGGTCGAATTGAGAACCTCCTCCGTTTTTGAAGCTTGTTAATACTTATCGTAATTGCTTAATTACGTTAAATGTTTCATTCACCTACTTAGTACAGTTTTGCACTCGACACAAAAACCGGTAAGCTTTGTTGTTTAACTAGGGTTGTTACGTAATGAAAATTAATTACAGACCATTAATTCACAAGGTGATGTCTGCTCGCCACAGCTGGTTGAAAGCCATATATATTCACTTAGACGAGAGATCATGTGTCGTATACAGTTTCTGAAATATATCACGTAAATGTTTACTAAAACAGACATAATGTATCAAGATATGTCTGCGGTTGTGTCAGAAATAATTTATGTTTCAGAAACATTAATTTGTCTCGCAAACCCGTAGATTTAGTTTCTGAAACAGTAATTATTTTAACTGAGATGTTTCTACAAATAAATTCTATCTTATATCATTGAAATAAGATAAATCGGGTAATCAATAGGATAGTCTTTAAGTAATTTCAACATATAAAAACTAATTACATTCCGGCCATGTAATTATAATAATAATAAAAATTTATTCCAAATACTTAGTGCAGTTTGAGATAAAAAGAAAAGAAATCAAATCTACAAAGCCTTAAAATTAGTTTAGATCAATGATATTAAGGAATTTGGCATGCGCGACGCTCGTTCTATATAATTATGCCATTTTCTTCCTTTATCTAGGTAGATGATAGTATTTGCCGGGAACACCAAACCATCTCCTGTGTGAATGCCGACCACTGATCTACAAACGTTGAATTTATCTGGGTCGATAAATTCTCTGAAAGCCAGGAACGTCATAGATTTTTTAGCGACCAGGCTAAAAGAGTTACTGTAGTTCTGGTAGCGAGTGGATTAGATCTATTTGGTCGCGGTGATCTTCAGCAACTGCATAGCCCCATGACGTGAAATAGTACTAATAATACTCGTAGTTCAGAAAACAAAAACAAATTTGATATTTATGCAGCTCAATTATAGCGAACTACTTCATTTACAAAATAGAAAGCCAGGCAACCCTAGGTAATCACAAGTGTTCATCGATGTATTTTATCGTGTGACATGCAATTTGCACACAATAGGACAGCGTATAAAGCTCGCACGCGCTGACTTTTTAAACAATCATTGTTGTAAGTATTTGCCACACCGAAATGTTTTGTCTGACAATAAAGTTTCATACTTACATGTTTAGGTCTAATTAAATAATCGTTAAATTGCATTTATCTTTCTCTCGTCGATCTCTATTGATAATAATACAAAATATTTTGCCATAATTAATGAAACAGATGTGTTTATGTTATTTATTGTTAACTAACCGGCTTCGCAGGGATATTGTTTACATACGAATCTCTAACGTTTTTGAAAATATCTAATCACTTATTTTCATTAAGGATATGTAAAATCATAATGCTAAAAGGGAAATTTCAAATCGGTAAAGTAGTTTCGGAGCCAATACATTTCAAACAATCAAATCTTTCCTATTTATAATATTCCATTCGTATATCTTTAGTTATCTTCGAAATAAGAATAACACTTGACGCTTAAATGCCAGAAGTGGCAAATTATTGTCATCAATATTTAAGATCTATTTTTTATTTATTTTAGTAGCTGTCTTAAAGGATTTTTTTACGTAAAACAACACTGTATGTCTAAAGAACTGCAGTCATCTTTGATATTCGATCTGATATTGTAGATTCTCTTTGGTTAACACAAGGTAAATACAGATTGTGTTGTATAGTCTAGATATCATAATATGAATGCACTGTGTTATAAATATCCGAATTATTAAGCTTCAAATCAATGTCGTAACATCTATTAGAACTGGCATCGTGATATGTCACATAAAGTATTTTCGATTGATATTATTGGCATACAACTAAACGTTCTCCGAACTATGATTGCATAATTTTAAAAGTCCTATTTTAAGGCTAGCATAGAATTTTTGGTTACTTAATTAGACTATGACATTTAATGCAATATGTTATCGAATCGGTTCTTAAAAACTTTTTTTTTTTCTGAAATGTTGAACTAGATATAATGATGAAAAAGGACTGCGACTCTACTGCGGCGATTTTTCAGACTGATTGATCTGATGTCAGCAGACAAATCAGCATTGGTCTGTCCAATCCTAGACCTAGGTCTGACAGTTGATCTGTCAACCTGAAAGATCATTCAGGGCCTCAGTTAGTCAGTAGAGAGTATCTGCGATCTCTAGATATAATAAAGTTTGTTTTCTTAACGCTATCAAGATTTCAACCCTCGGAAACGGCAAAGGCGTTATTTAAATATTCTACGTCTACAATGTTGAAACACATCATTGAGGCTGATAAAGTGCAGTAATTAGAGACGTGTTCATTCGCTGTTAACATGTCCGAAAAAGGTTTCGTTATGTAGGTGCTAAAGTATCTCCCTTTGTCCGTATCAACCCCTTTATCTGTGTTATATAACTACAAATGTTGGTATAGGTATAGTCTAATCGACAAACCATTGTAGTTGATGAATCGTATTGAGTAATCGTTTCATTTTTGCAGAAATATTGTGATGACAATTTCAAACTACGACCCCGTATTTTGAAGATACTGTACATTTTCACCAGTTTGACTGGCAGACAATGCCTTTTTGGCATTATGTCCACCATTTGCTGTTAAATGGGCAAAGATTAATTAAACAAACTACGAGCATATTAAATGTTGTTAATTTATTCAGCGAACAAGTTTGTTTTCACTATCACTATACTATAAACTGGATTTGTCGCTTATACACTGTATTTGTTTAATTATTTCATAAGATACGTAAAAGTCGTTCGTTAATTTTTAAGTTTAAAAATAACACCCTTTTCAATTGAATACCTTTAAACTCGAATAAAAGCTCTATTTATAGTTCCGAACCCGGTTGATGTGCATCTGTTCTTAAAGAAAGTATCAGACGCTTTAAATAGAAATTACGCATAACCTAACGTTTTCTTTTTTAAATCGATCTACAAGCTTATAAACAAGGAACATCTGTTCATCTGACAGTCTTACATTCTTGATTTAGCACACGAGTTTCTAGGCCACGGTCGTCATTCGGACCTCTTTGCCAGTTGTATACTTATTTTCATGAGTTTAAAAGACGTTGCTCAATTGACATAGCTATTCAGTGCGCGTCGTTCAACGCCTATTCGGGCGGTGCATTCGCCCGCTGTTGTTATAGTATACGCCGGTGAAGCAACTGTTTATGAAGTATAGTTAAACGCGCCGGTCGTTTCGGAATGCCAAGTTTTGCAATACAACTGACGCGTTTTATGATGATCTTATCCACTGTGACGGCATTATTTCCGTACTCATGGAATTATATAATAATCCATAATGTATTTTGTAATACTATGCTTAAAATTGTATTCATAAGCTTTGTTAATTATATTTTCTTTACTTGGTTATTTAAGATCGTAATCTATGATAGACGCTGTGGGATTCTCGACTGGTCCCTCTGCACCTATATGGATGGTACAAAACTAACAATGTTCTTTTGCGTTATGGGATGTAATCTACGGATTCTATTCACTATGTTATCTTTATCTTTCATGTACAAGGTAAATCTGATCATATTTGATTTATCACAAAATCCACATGTATAAATAATGTCATTTGTTATCAACATAAGTTTGGTGCGCTAAAATGGCGTCTTCCTTTACAAAGCCCAAAAAACTGCTATATTTCCATGTCAGCGTTTTTAATGACGTGGCAATTATACTCTATCGAAATACTGTTTAATATGTGGTTCTTTTTGTCCACAGATGCAGAATATAAACAATATAGTTATGTTTCCTGTGGACAGCATATTAAAAGGAGATCTCAGAGGCGTGAAAGGTGATTTGAAGAGGCCGTTTGACAAAGCTTCTAAAGATTACGAGTCGAAGTACCTGAAGATAGAGAAAGAAAAGAAATCTCAGGCTAAGGAGGCAGGCTTAATTCGCAGTGAAGTTACTCCTGCGGAGATAGCTGATGAGATGGAGAAAGAACGAAGGTTGTTCCAACTTCAAATGTGTGAGGTATATATTTTTTACCCTTTACTAGTAATGTGTTAGCTCTTATAATGAATTGTAGTAATCTTTGTAGGTTTATTGTTGTAGTTAGTCATCTGTTATTAAATTGTAACTGCTATTAAATTGATACCTGTTATAGTGCGTTCTACAAAAATGTTAAGAGTGTGTATGAATGATTCATTGTCATTGTCACTCTGCTGTAAGTTTTGAATATTTTTGAGATTTAACCAATCGACCATTTTGTATATATATATATATTTTTATATTGGCGCCCTCTCTGATTAAACCTTAGTAAGAAACAAATTATTCTTTATAAATATTCAAGCAGCTAACGCGTTAAAATATTTTTTTTGTTGTCTGCAAGAAATAAAAAAGAAATGCCAATTTATTTCAATATTTGACTTTTTAAATACGATTGGGCATAGAGCCAAAGTGAAAAAGGTCAGATATCGTTTGTGAATGGGCAATTAGCGGCTTGGCCTGAATGTAGCTAGCCGGTACCTTTTTGTTGTTATTCGCTAAATACAGAAGTCTGGAGTACGAGTCGATAAGGGGGCGTCCATAAATTACGTGAGGTGTTTTTTCAAATTTTCTGACCCTCCCTCCCCCCCTGGTGAGATGTCGTGAGATTTTATTCAATCCCCTCCCCCATCCCCAAATCTCACGTGAGATTTTTCAAAATGTGGGTTTCTTATTTAAACACGTTGGATTTTTTTTAATAAAAAGAAAAAAAAAATTCGCTCCGTACTTTTATTTACGACTAGTTAGAGACTAGTAATCAACATTGCTGAGAGCTACAAGTGTAATAAAGATTAAACAATAGAATACTTAATTCGTAACGACTGCGATTAAAAAAGGAATATCTACTCTAATTCAATCCATGGAGAATCATGCACGGTCTCGAGAGAGACTATTGGAACCAGCATGTCCATATGATTTTCAGTAAAATCATCCTTCAATTTCGTTCTGATCCAGCCACTCTAAGCCGTTGGCACTTGTGCACAGTAACTCATTAGCTTGTTTTGTGACAATCCGTGCGAGTCGTACTTTGAGCAATATACGCGCTTGCTTAGCTGGTGCAATGTGGGCTGCACGCCTGTTCTCTGCAGCTCTTGTGATAGATGCAAAGTAAATACCGCATGTACTACAGCATCTTTTTTCTAAATCGTCATGTACACTTGGGCAATAGAGATCATAAGGCGTGCTAATGAAGGTATTAGAAATGGAGCAAATGACTTTCCGTCATGCTCTTTAAAGTCCGGAATTGTCAAGTGTCCATCAACCTGAGTGATAGGGTATGGAGGTGACAGAAAACGGTCGTGAAGAATCATATGTAGATCATATGAAGAATCGAGTAAAACATTTGCAAGAATAAACAAAGCAGGTTGGAACCTGTCCGTGTGTCGCTGCACTCAGCTCGTACGCTCTCATTCATCGAGTCACACGTTCAGCTGAAAGTGGCGCAAAAACAAAGGACGGGCTACATTGTACCGTAAATTCAAATTAAATTGAGCTATTTGGTATAAAACGAGTATAGTGGTTTGACAATCAGGAGTGATGTATAATGTCAAAGTACGAATGAAATTATTTTCTTTCCAACGAATTAGTGAATGATCTTAACCTTAGACTTGTCACTCTATGAGGGATTCCCCGCACCGAGCCTTATTTTAAAAATTGCGTGATATTTGCCGAGACCCGCGCTATCTCCAACGTGAGATTAGATGAGATTTGACTCGACTCCCTCCCCCCCTTAAACATCTCACGTAATTTATGGACGCTCCCTAATCTTTTTAAAAAAGTAATGCCTTTTCGTAGAACGTGCTTGAACGTAGGTCTATAATTCTATTGCTCTTATTGTATAATAATATAAAGAGGTACAAGAAAGTTTCTAAGTTTCTTTATTTCAAGGGGTAATCTTCGGAAATACTAATCCGATCATGTAATTTTTTTTTCACCTACTTAAAATTAGATCCTATGAAGGTGACTAGATCATACTACACATAATTTACTCGGGCAAAGGTGCGGGAAAACTTGCTGTTTTGAATTAATGGCCAAAAATTTTGTTGGTTAGTGAATTAATGACCAAAAATTTATTATCTTGAGCTCCTCCGTGCTTCGGGATATACGTTTAAAGTCATTGTTCACGGCTGCTTCCGCAATCGTCGATGGATGATGGATTGTGATACGATTCCTTCTACTGGATTGTTTTCCACTGGAGATATTAATAGGTTGGCGATGATGATTTTAAAGTTCTATATGGTCTTAACAATGATAATCGCTGTGTAAAAACATTACTTAGTCACCACCACCAACCACGGTTAGAACTTTTACAACCACTGAGGATGCTCTTTGGAGGGATGGAGCACGTGTAGATTGTTTGTTGCGAAATCGTTGCCATTTGTGCATGTGAATATGTACGGTCGTAACGGATGTAACAACAGTGCTCGCAGAAACTACAGTAGAGTATAAGAGTATGAAACGTTACAATTGTAATGTCGCGATTGCTTTTAAGAGTAAGCATGCAGATTGCATTTAATAATTGAAAAATCCCAACTTTAGTGTTGTTACACAACGATAGTCTATTGTAAGTATCTTTATTGGCCTTGAGAATCATTCAAACTCTCAATACACATTGTTGAAGATCGATAGTAATGTATTTAACATTATCGATAGTTGACCATATTACTATTGCTAATCTGTAGAAAGTAATAGCTCTATACGTGAATATTCATCATCATCAGCCTTTTTACGTCCCCATTGCAGGGGCTCAGGTCTTCCTTATGCAGGGAAAAAGGAGAATGGGCCATGACCCACCACGCTGGCTCAATGCGGATTGGAGGGTGTTAACGACTGCAAATGCAGCCGGGACCAACGGCTCAACGTGCCGTTCGAAGCACGGAGTACTCGAGATAATTTTTTTTGGTTACCCATCCCGTGACCGACCCTTACGAATGTTGCTTAACAACAATGATCGCGGATCGCAGCGCCTATGCATTTTTCATATCAAATCATATTACACTTTCACATGTATGTGACATGTGAATGTACCTAGCTAGATACGATAGTATCGTCATAGTAATATCATCGTAACCATAATATATTAGCATTATATAAGTATCGTATTTCACTGTAAGATTGTGATACGTGACTATTTTTCGATCTTATAAGGTAAAAAATTATGGCAAAAACAATGCCCTACTGACCTTTAGTTGTATAAAATATTCGTATAAATTAAATTATGCGCACATAACATTTTCTTGTAAGTAATCAAAAAAAGTATTGAATACCTATGTGAAAGCGATATCGCAGTTTTTAAAATGATTTTTTTTTTACTTTAGATGTACTTTTACACGATAGTTTAGCATAATATAATCATGTTAAATTAATCCCATCAAAAACATAACGTGTACAAAAACGCACAAGTCTCACAACGCTGCTTCTCTCAAACTTCTGCCTTAAAAAGTTATGAATCAACGTAAAACAAGTCAATTAATTCAGTACCTATCTTTCTGTGAGAGCAACTATCCAACCTTGTCATAGATTTAGGGATACTTGGCAAACACATAGGTATGGTTGCGGGCACAAAGGTTCCTCACTTTCTGTCTTTATGGACTTTGAAAACGGCGTTAACGTATTTGTTTTCGATAAATCAAATGACAAATGTACCTGGTGAATGCATCTTCAATAAGTCTGTTATATTCAGAATACAACCAAAGTTGACATTTATTAGATATAAACAAGTTAGGGATGTCGTTCTCGAAAATGCCACATAAACTTCATCATCATCATCAGTCTTTTACATCTATACTGCAGGTGCTCATGCCTTCGTTATGAATGGTTAAAGAGGATGTGCCATTTTTGCTCGACTTGGTGGAGCACTTCCGTGACCCCAGATCCTTTTTAAAATGAACGCACGTAATCGCCTACCTGCTTTTTTCTGTACGACTTTTTTAATCGATTATTCAAATAGTACTGTATTAATTATGCTAATGATTACCATATACTTAAATATTTATTGAGAACTTGGTTTGTTTAATATTAGCTTTCAACTAAATATACTCTAAATCAATTATTGATGTTAGAGCATAGTAATAAATGGCATTCTGATTGAATATATGACTTTTTTTTAACATACATTATATCACTCTAAAGTTTTCTATAATAATATCTAATAATAATGCTCTTACTTTTTTTTTATTTATAAAACAATAGGTAGTCGCAACTACTACCAATGGAGTTAATATTTTCAAGCTGCAGTCGTTAAGTTTAAACGATTTGTGGTTATAATCAAGTTGATCGTTGTAATTTTAAACTTGTTTCGTTTATTACATACATATATTATAATGCCATAATCAAGTTATAGTTAAACTCACTTTCTAAAAAATATAAAAGCAATCACAAGCTTAGACGGTGGGTCAGAAATTTTCCTAACAACAATTTTTTAGAAATAACAACAGCTCATTCAATAAGCAACATTTTTATAATATTCTCGATAAGGGCGAAGAAATAATAAAAACTTATTAAATATGGAAACTTTAATATAATTCAACTAGTTGACCTGGCGAACTTCGCCGTCCAGTTTGTATGAGAAAAGGTGTCGACGGACTTCAATGAATATCTATATATTAATACGTGAAGCAAAAACTTTGGACCCCTTTTTACGAAAATTGCGAGGACGGAGGAGTATGAAATTTGGCACACTTATAGTTTATATGTAGGAGAAGTGCAAACGGCTAATATTTTCCAATAATAATGCTTATAAAGTACATTAAATCGATAAATAAAACATTACACAAACAAGTATTTGCTACACGCATACATGTACTATGTGGTCAAATTGTTTCTTTTGACATAGAGTTTGTTTGTTTCTTTTGAATATTGGCTTTGCACGGTTTGTGCATTTAGCCAGTGTTAAGTTATATATGTTTGTAATGTTTACTTTGGTACTAGTCTTACTGAATGTCAAAAGATTTTTGATTTCAGTAATAAATTCTAATTGAAATTTA